GTGTATAGTAAAATCTAAATACATGTGTAACTACTGGCTATCCATCCCCGTACCGTATTCTTGTGTGGGTGTGGTCACGCCATGCCCATCTCGTGTGACACCCCCCCTGTTACCAGGGTATGTGTAAGTCCGTTACACTAGAAGCCTGACTACGTAGACGCCCAACGATCGCGTGATCGCGTCCTTCGCTTCTGTAGCGGGATTGGCTGAGCGGAAGCCATTTTTCACACGAGCTCTAGGACCGACCCTGGATGCGCGCACATGAAAGCCGCCCTGTGGCAAGCCTCCAACAGCTTCCTCTGTGCCTCGTCGAAGTCATTAATAGCGATACCATTTTACCCAGAAGTCGAAAAGTCGGGAAACGGACATGGTGTCCGCAAGCTTTGAGCTGGGCTCACGTCGCGCAGCTGGCGCACCTCGCCCTCCTCTTCTTATTATCCCGGGAAAGAGTATCGAACTAGTAGACGAAATAATCCGTCGCCCGTTGCGGGCGCGGTGCTCGATTGACGAGGGCTTAATATGCGCTTTACTTGAAGCCGTGGACGCTCTTTCGGTAGGTTGCGACGCGTGCAGGAGACGAAGAAAGGCTCTGCCCGCGGGCACACTCGGAAGCAGCGAGGCTGGGTATATTTTGTATCCTAGACAGAGCGCTCATTGAGCAGGAATGCGCGCAGAAGATCCTGAAGATTTGGGAGTGTCTTAGACACGCGAGCCTCGTACGAGGCGAAAATTAAATGTGAATTGTGGGTGCTCACAGTTTTGATGAGGAAGAGTGTAACGGGGTTACACGTACCCTGGGTATAAAGGGGTGGGTCACACAAGACGGTGTAATCAAACAATGGTGTGGCTATACCTTAACAAGAAGTCATCACGTGGCTGGACTGCCAGTAGTTATGCATTTTAATTGTGGTTTACTATTTAATCAGGAAAACTTATAAATTGAGATATAGGCGGCTTTGCCGCAAATGAAACCAGGAAACAAAGTTAACTTTTGAACAGAAGAGTTCATTTGCTTTGGTTAAGGTTTTGGTTACTCTTGGAGTAAGCGGGTTGCGATCCGCTACACTTGTTCTGGTTCTTGTATAGAATAAAGGTCACCTACCTTAGATTAACTTATTCTAAGCGAAAGAGCTACGGCAGCCCCACTGCATACTCCCTCTCGGCTTCGATCGCCAATCGATCCATGACTCATGCATCTCAAGCCACGGTATAATATAATCAGGTTATAATGTTTGTCCATCCTGAGGACCGTGAATACTTTCTTCGATTTAAAGGCTTCAAGCTTCACTTGAAGATCAACCATAATTTTCTTCTCGATGACACCGCACCAGTGGCCAGCTTCACTAAGATAAAGCCGTAGTTTCTATCAAGTGCATACAAAAGCGTTAATTATGTTTAGCAACACTTTACTCACGCGCGTAATTATGCGACGCGTAAGATTCAATCAAGACTCTGAATGGACTACCGTAACCCTTCACACTCGCTGTGACCACGAGAAGACCAGTCGTTAACGATGGATAGCGATCTGTCAAGGGCTAAACCCCGTGAGTGGCTCTACCACCACGCTCATCGGAGTTTATAATTGACCGCTCTGCATCTACTGGATACCGGCGTTTCTAAACACCTCGTGATATTGGTACCACGAGGCTCGGAACCACTACGACGAGAACCGTATTGAGAAGTTCATCTTCCAAGTGGACAACCACGGCGGGTGTAACCAAAGGGTTGACACCCATAACAGCGCATTTGCTGCCAACGGACAGCCACCGCGCTGAGATCCATTAGTTTCTTGATTTCCAGCAGTAACAGTTACCGCTTCCATCGGATTGATTGATTGGTCACGTGCTTGACGTTGAAAGTATTCACACGCAATGCAAATAATATTGCGTCTTCCAGAGTCGTCGGAGTATGGCGGAAGACTTCAGTCTCAGGATGGCCTTTAGTGCGTCCTTCCATAAACACGGTGATCCATAGTACCTGTGGTAGTGGTTTGCTTGCCATATTGGCACGAAGCTCACGAAGTTTCTGTATGTAGTCTTACACATCCTCGAACGTTGTTGAAATGCCACATTCGGTAAAAGGAGCATCTATTCCATGGCCCTCTTCAGCTCTTGCCATGCGGCAAAGTAGCCGGGGCGGTTTACTTCCCATGTCATTGCCCAATCTTGTGCACGGTCATCCAAATGCGACATGGTAAACGGTAATTTAAATGCGACATAACAAAGGCCACTTTACTGCGGTCATCACGAATCTGGGTCATACCGATAGCAATGTCCATA